TTATTCTTACAAATATTGAATTTTTTTATTTTATTTTATTTATTTATTAAATAAATTTCTTTTAATTATTATTATTATTATTATTATTATTATTATTATTATTATTATTATCATTATTATTAATACCGATTTTATGCTTTTTATTTTTCTTTATACTTGATTTAAATAAAATAAAATAGAAAAAAAAAAAAAAAAAAAAAAAAAAAAAGAAACTCAAGGCGGAATTTTAATATTTAAGGTTTCTCTCTCTCTATCTCCTTTAGGTTCAAGCCCAAGACCCAAAAATGTCTCTATAAATTATCATTATTATTATTATTATTATTATATTAATTAAAAATTTTTTTTTTTTTTTTTTTTTTTTAGCAACCATAATGACATATTTTATTAATTAAAAACTTTTTTTTTTTTTATTTTTTGTATGCCAAACGAACAATTAATTAATAGATTAATACAAATTACTCATTAACTCGTTATTTATTATTATTATTATTATTATTATTATTATTATTTATTAAGATTTTATCCTTATTTATTTATTTATTTATAATTTAAATTTTTTACGTATCGCCATTTTGTTTTTTCTTTTGCGGAAAAAAATTAATTACGTGAATAACACGTTTAAATTTAACAAAAAAAAAAATGTCCTTAATGTCTCTTTTGTCACATGTTTTGTTTTATTATTATTATTATTATTATTATTATTATTATTATTATTATTATTATTATTATTTTGTTTAAACATGTGGAGAAAAAAAGAAAAAATTACGTTGGTTGTTTTATTAAAAAAAAGGGACTGGAAAATATATCGGCCATGGCCAAAAAAAAAAAAACAGTTACGGGTTAAAACTAATGATAATACCTACACACACGTGGTTATTATCATTATCATTATTATTTATTTAAATAATTTTTTTTTTTTTTCGTAAAACATTTTTCATAAAAAAGAGTTTATTGTTTCATAAAAAATTTTCAAAAGTTTGCTATATATATATATATATATATTAATGAGAATAATATCAATTAAATAATTTTATGAAAGAATACCTTGACTTCTATTGACCTACGCCCACGCATAACTAATTATTCTTTTATAGTAAGAAAGTAATAATAATAATAATTAATTAATTAATCTTAAAATTTTTTTTTTTTTTTTTTTACAGATTTTGCCAAAGAAGAGGAACTTCAAAAGAAAAATCACGTGACATTCGGTAAGTAAACTTTTTTTTTTTTTTTTTTTTTTTTTTAAATTTCGATTGAAAGGATTTAATTAATTACATCCCGATTACTACCTACTAAAAATTTTAAAAAAAAAAAAAAAAAAAAAAAAAAATTGCTTTTTAAAAAGCCCCCTAAAAGTAGTATTCGAAACGCAAAAAATTATTATTATTATTACTACTTATTGATAATAGGTACGCGGTTAAAAAAAAATTAAGGTAGGACTGACGAAAGAAAAAAAAAAAAGTGTGCCGGGCAATAACCTTATTTATTAAAAAAAACCGAATTAATTTATTAATAAATAAATATGGAGGGAAAAACTTAATAATAATAATGATAATTATTAATAATAAATGCAAGTTTTTTTTTTGTTAATGAGATTTTCACGTGAGTGTTTTTATTTAAAAAAAAAAAAAATGTTTATAAAAGAATTTCGCAATTAAAAAAAAAAAAGGCGGGTAATTTAAAAATTTTTTTTATATATAAACGTTTACATTATTATTATTATTATTATTATTATTATTATTATTATTATTATTATTATTATTATTATTATTATTATTATTATTATTATTATTATTTTTTATCCCCTTCAAGGATTTTTTTCCGCTTCTTGTAATAATTTTTTTTTAAAAAAAAAAAAAAAAAAAAAAAAACGGTTAGAGTAAAATTAAATAAAAAAAAAAAAACAAAATGGAGGATTACTAATTAATACAATAAAATCATCAACGATTAAAGTTTTTTTGGGGGGAAGGAGGAAAAAAGAAGCAGAGGAGGGGAGAAGAGGGAGGGAAAAGAAGGGAGGGGAGGAAGAAAAAAAAAACTCGTATGAAAGTGCGTACGAAATCATTATTTTATTATTATTATTATCGTTTGGTTTTAACAATGAGAAAAATGTAAAAATCGTTTGTTTTCTCGAATCCCGCGAAATGCTTCCAGGTAGTATTTGGAAAACCGGTTTTTCCTTAAGGACAAATTCGTATTGTACAACTTTGTTTGTATTAAAAAAAAATTTTTCCGATTCAATCACGGATCTTTTTGTTGTTTTGCTTACTAACTTTAACCCTGACGTAGGAAAAAAAATTATTATTATTATTATTATTATTATTATTAATTTAAAAATTATTTACTATTGATAAATGACTTCATTTATATTGAGTGATGTCATAACATGTTAGAAAAATGTGATGACGTAGTCGAGATACTCAGGTACCCATTAAGATTTTTTATAAATAAATAAATATATATAAAAAACGTCAAGTGTTTAATTTATATATATGCATTCTCATTGGCATCCATTTTTTTTTGGTTGTTTTAAAATAATTTTTCAGTTAAAATTTATTTAAAAGGAATTTAGAAAGGAAATATAATAATAATAATAATACACGTGCGTGAATTTATTACGTAATAAATAAATTTATTTATTTAAAAAAAAAATTATTAATCACACGCGTAATGTGATATAAATAAAAATTTATTATTTCGAATAAATTTTTAAAAACGCGCGAAAAATTGTTTTGTTTTGATTGATGTAAACATGGCGACATGGCGCGTCCGCCAAATTTATTCTTTTTGAATTTCTTCTGCCACTGCTGTTTGTAATAAATACGTTAAAGTTTCACAACCATCGAAAAGAAGTAACTTTTTTTTTTTCGTTAATTTGCGTTTGTTTAAGTGTTTTTTTTTTTATACGTAAAACATTAAAAAAAAAAAAAACATAAAATTTATGTTTTGTACGTGGAAAATAAGCAAAAAAACAACCGAGTTCATAATAAAACATAAATTATAAAAAAAAAAAAAAAAAAAAAAACCTTGACCAGAGCAAGGTCTTCAAGAGTTTATTAAAGAAGGTTTATTGCCATAAATTTATAATTAACTAACTGACATTTTTATTTTTTATTTTTATTTTTTTTTTTCCAGGCTTTTATTTTTTAACGTAACCTAATTTTAAAAAAGAGAAGATTTAATCTCGATATTATGATAATAATAATAATCACATTATCTCGTTTCACATTCATGTAAA